TCTATCCAAACAACCCTCTGGAAAAAAAGCAGGTACTATCCCCATTTCTTTTTAAGACGGGCAACTGGGACACAAGGGTAAATGAAGTGACTTGCCCACGGTCTCAGCAGAAGCTGAGTTGGGAACTGAATACAGGACTCCCGAGTCCCAGTTCAGTGCCCTACCCCCTAGACCAAATTCCCATAACTCGTATCAAATTTCACTGCAAAAAATAGGAGAAATGTGGAAAGGGTTTTTGGTTTGTTTAAGAGTTTAATTTTTTTTTCTTATTGCTTCAGAGTAACTTAATAGTGGTGGAATAGGAAGGTATAAAAAAATTAAAAACATGGTGAGGCAAGCTTCTCCATAAGGAGCTGCAGGGAGAAACCCCGAAACATGCGATTTCCCCACTCATCAGATGCAACAGAAAAGAAAGAGAAACTATGCCAGAAAGGTTTCAGAGTAGCAGCCGTGTTAGTCTGTAGTCGCAAAAAGAAAAGGAGGACTTGTGGCACCGACTCTAAGGTGCCACAGGTCCTCCTTTTCTTTTTGCGACTACAGACAAAGACGGCTGCTACTCTGAAACCTGTCATTATGCAAGGCACTGCATTTAGCCGTATGGAGTGGAAATCTATCAACTTCATGAAATTTTATTATATATGCCAGAAAGATTTTTACTTTAGAAACCTGCGCTTGGAGGTTACCTACTGATCTGTCAGAAAGACGGTCTGTCACGACAGCCACAGCACAACCGCAGCAAACTCAAGACTGGGAAAGACCTGCACCTGGAAACGAGCCACGTCTGAAATCAGATTACGATGTGCATCAGTACATGGCCTTTCACAAGGGCACTGCAGATGCTACAGGGATGTAGCACACAATGGAAAACGGAGGCTCCAAGAAGTACAGCTCCCCTCAGCCCACCGTGCAAACCAACATTTGCCCACCCTCCAAAAAAGTCGGCAATCAGGTGATGCTACATCAGGGCAGATGAATCTGCATGCAGCTGACGGCCTGCAGTGAACAGGCTACCATGGCAAAAGACAAGACATGTGACCTCTGGGACAATAGCAAGACTGACTGTTCTAGGCAAAGGCACTAAGCGTATTCAGCACTCCGCAGGGCTGTGGAGCCAGCAAGAATGCGACAAGAACAAAACAGAGCGAAAGTTAGGTAATAGAGGAAGAAAACCAGTTCAGAAACCACAAAGGAGATTTTACAACAGACACCAATTACATAAATCTAGATGGATTTCATCTTATCGTTCAATTCGAAAGCTAGCTCTCTACCTCCTGCTGCCCAAATGCAACCTGTATCCCTCTAGAGAGCCCCATGGGAAGCAAGCAGTACAAACCCCTTTGGCAGGGCCAAGCAAGAATCTTTCAAAAAAATCCTTCCTGGCTCTTCAGAGAAAACTGTATCAAATTAGACAGCAGAAGGTTTTGCAAAATACTGGGCCCAATCCTCAGCATAACTTCATTAAAGTCCATGGGGGAGGACTTTCCCACTTCAGTTTCTTCGTATCTCATACCCCCTGATGCTTCAATTTTGGATTGAAACAAGTGGCCATGGGGTCCAGTTCACAACTTTTAAAAAGCATTTCAACCTTTCACAGAATGAATTTGAGATTAAAGCAATTCAAGACTTTTGTTTTCACAGTAAAACCCACCTGCTGACCATACACACACACACCCCCCACCACCACCAAAACCACCAACTTCACTGCTGGACCTTTCTCCACATTGTGCTATATATTCCTGCACTGGGATGAACCAGCAAGTAACAATAGTATCATAGAGGTCATTTTTTTTCCAGGCACAATAACAAATAGCCAATAATTAAAAAACAAATGTTGACTATTCTCTTTACACTGATTTCAAAAACTGGGCAAGCCACCATTACACATCCAAGAGAGGGAATTCCAGATTCCTTCTTGAATCTTGTTTGAAAACTAAAGTTTCAACCCTTTAAAATCATTATTATTGATTATAATAAGTATTGCAGTGGTACCCAAAGGCTCCACCCATTGTGCTGTTTGTTCAACATAAGAACAGCCCTACTGGGTCAGACCAAAGGTCCATCTTGTCTTCCAACAGTGGCCAATCCCAGGTGCTTCAGCGGGAATAAACGGAACAGGTAATCATTGAGTGATCCATCCCCTGTCACCCACTCCCAGTTTCTGGCAGCCTGAACACTGCTCTCCATCACCTCCCTCATCCTCTGCCTCTCCCCTACACTTCTCCTGCCATCTGCGCCTTTCCTGCCATACAAACACACAAGGAACCATGGCTCCTGACCCAAAAATCTGACAAGTTAATTTTGAAACAAAAAACTACAATCTTGTACCATGAGCACTGTCTGGAGCTAAAAGTTAAGGCCACATGCTCCGGAGCATCTAAAGAGATGCTCCCCTTGGATGACAATGGGCAACTTTCCTGTACCATTGTTCATTTACACACACAGCAACAGTAAATTTTGTGAGCATGCAATTCTGCAGCTACATTATGCAATAATCTGGCCCTTAAAATAGCATCAGTAGGATTCAGCATCAACTCCCAGTATAGACAACAAGAGCAGTCCACATCTCTCAGGATTAATACATCCCTGCATCCATCCACTCATATTAAAAAGGATTATCTTTGCAACTTTAAGGGCTAAAAACTTTAATAAATGGAAACTTCTACTCTGCTGAACCTGAATTCATCAGAGGACTGAATAAATACATGAAGTGAAACAGGCATGACACTCCTGGCTTAAATCTTTGTTTTGTGTGTTTATCTTAAATCAAAAAAAACCTAAGTCGAGCAGACATTTAACGCACATGCTATTGCAACAGTGAAGTTGTAGCAACCCATGCCTTTCTAATACTTTTTCAGAGATGCAGTTAAACGCTTAAATGGGCAAGTGTACACACTGGAAGAAGCAATGCAGCCAAAGGTCCACAACGTGAACGAACCTTGGTGAAAGCTTCTGTGGTTAAACACAGAGTCAAGGATTTAGATCCGAGAGATGTGTACGTGAACACGTGCACACCGCTCATTCATGTAAGCAATCCCTACAAAGAGAGGAGTGACTGGTATGTTTATTATTGGATTACTTGATTGATCAACTAAATATTTGCTAATATGGTAGAACTAAGAACCTGCATTGGTAGGCAGTAAGCTAGCGAAGTGAAAAGTAAAGTCATGTCGCTTTTTCTTTTTTTTTAAGGTATAAAGAGGTACCTGGGCCTGACTGGAAGATATTCGGAGCAAGATTTCACGCTCACCAAGAGGTTCCCATTTGAAGAAGGGAAGCTGTTTCCATTAGCTACACAAAGCTTTATGCAGAGCTTCCCCTGCTTGAAAATTACACCTGGATGTTTTGCCGAGCATCACAATGAGCTTGCACAACGCAACCGCCTTGCAGAGCCCCGCGGGAGCACCCACTGTGTCCCCGCTAGCCAGGAGCTGGCATTTCAGGCCCAGACCTTCGGAGTCGGCCGGTGGCTGCATCAGAAATGTGGATTTGAGTTCTCATCGCCCTAAGATCCAACCAGCAAGTTCTCCTCCGCAGACAGAAAGAGATCTCATGCTATGGAGGCAAGGAACAGCCTAATCTCAGAGCAGCCTGAACACTGCTCTCCATCAATCCTCCCTCATCCTCCGCCTCACCTGGCCTCACCCCCCTCTCTCCCCTGCTGCCTGCCCCTCCCCTCCCCACTCCCCTCAGTGCTGAGCCGGCCAGAGGGAAGTGGCCCCTCTGAATTAGCCCATCCAAATCTAGAGAGGAGAGGCCAGGGCTCCCCTTGTGATAGGAGCCCAGCAGTAGCACTGGACCCCGAAACCCAGCTAGCCTGGGAGCCCCGCTCAAGCCTGGCTCAGACCCGAAGGCTGGGGGGGGGCACAGGGTTGGGGGGGGGGACTGCTCTCCCTGCCTTTGGGGCACGTGGCTAACCCCCACCCCCCAGGCCCACAGGCAGAGGGATTCCCCCTCCACAGCCTCCCCCAGCGCTGGCCAAGGGGGCAGCTCCCACCCCAGGGCGCAGCTGCTGCTCCTCTTCCCCTTGCAATGCCTGGGGCAGGCAGCAAAGCACGTGGCTGGAGCAACCCCCAAGCTCCAGGAGAGACGCCGGGGGCCAGCAGCGCCCCGGGGCACAGGCCTCTTCTCCCCTGGTCTCCCTGCGGGGGGAATGGGCTGCTGCCAGGAGCCCAGCCCCCAAAGCAACCCCCCCCCCGGGACCTCCAGCCCGGGCTCCCCCTCTGCCCTCGCCCCGACACGCCTGGAGGCAGCGCCCCGCTCCGGAGGGAGCCGCCCCGCCCGGGGGCCGCACATGGCCCCGAGCGGGCTGCGGGCACCGCTCCGAGCTCGCCCGCCCGCCCAGCGCAGCTGTAAACGCGGGGCGGGGCGGGGTGGGGTGGCTAGTAAATTACCCCCCCCCCGGACCCGCACGGAAATTAACTCGGGATCTGCCTGGCCGGGCGCCCCCTTCAAATCCCAGCCCGGCCCCGCGAACTTTTTGCGACACATTTTGTGTCCGTCCCCCGGCCCCGCGCCTGCCCCATGCCCCAGCCCCGCCGGGCACCAGGCGCTGCCGAGCCCGGCGGGCTGTTTCCCCGCTTCCCCGCCGCGCTCTCGGGGCTGGCCCCGCTGGCGGGCGCAGGGGCCGGGCCGCCCGGGCACCGGGGTCGGGAGCGGCTGCCTGGCCGTGCCCGGGCTCGCTCTGCCGCTCGCGGCTTCGTGCCCCAGCAGCAGCCCCCCGGGAGGTGCAATTCCCCCCCGGCCGGGCAGCTGCCTTATTTTATGGCCAGGGGTGAGGTGCACGCTCCCATTGCCAGGCGGAGAAGGAAGGGAGCGGAGCGGGAGACGGAGCCTTCCCCAGCTCTGCACTAGCCCCCTGTGTTGCTTGCTCAGAGGAGGAGGGCAAGGGGCTATCCCCCTAAATACAGAGTCCTCCCCCCCCCCCGCCCGCCATCACCCACACCCTGATCCCCCACCCCTGCACACAACACACAGAAGAGAACCCCAGCACCACTGATTACCTTCCACAGCCAGGACACAGAAGGTCAAAGAGAAAAAACAGAGACAAAGCAAGTCCTCCAGCGCCATGTAAACCCTTAAAATCTCCAGGGGGGGGGGGAAAGCAGGACTCTTTGAATGTCCAGAAGAAGAACATTTAAGAGGGGAGCTGAGTCTCCCTCCACTCCATCGCCATCTTGTGTGAATATTAGAGACTATGTGAGTTGCTTGCTTGCACACATGCACACACGCACACACACTCAAGTCCCACTTTAGGTGTCCACTAGAGACGCCTGAACCTCTGCCAACAACCCAGCGCACACACACCCCTTTCTGTTTCTCCATGCAGCAGCATGCTGGAAGCTTTGAGGGAAGCAGATTGGTCACTCCTTGCTGAAGAGCCCAGCTCTGTGTGCAGGGTTAGCAAACAAGAACCAGAGCATGACAAAAATAAAAGGACTGGTGGTGGGCTCTGTATGTCTTTGTGGGTCTGGAGAGGAGGAAGGGTCATCTCCCGCTTGCACACCCTGCCAGTATTTAGCAAGGCTGGGTGACCCAGAAGAGTGCTATTTAAAAAATAAATAAATAACGGACTATGTATTTATTCATTCAACAGGTTGCTAAGAGCTTCAGGAAGTCTGACTCTATCCTCCCTTCCCCCAAGAATATGTAGGATTTGAAGGATAAAAACATTTCACGCTTAGCACTTTTCCTCTTCAAAGTGTTTTGCAAACACTAATGGGGAAGTGGCAAGTCAATTTCAGTCCCAGATTAGAATATTTTTGGAGAGGGAAATGGGAGCACAGTCCATCCTTTACAAAAAGATTGCCCAAGAAATGCTACCGGGAGGGAGATAGATAAATAAATAAATATTTATGGGGAAACAAACATTTCCCTGCAAAAACCCAAGCGTTGCAATATTAGGCTAGCACACACAAAAATCTCAGAGATTAGAAACAAATTGAGGGTTGAACCTCAGCCAAACTGACCCAGAGGGATCTGATTGCAGGATAAGGGGCTTCATTTTATTCGTTAGGCAAGTGCCCACTGACTTGAATGGGAGCTTAGGGCAGTAAGGACAGAGATGTCATTGAGCAAGGACCCCGGCCTTTGGCATATTGGACATAAACAGTGTAATCAAGTACCTGCTATTATAGATAATTTTGTTAAACAAGATTTTGAACCCAACGTTTCTCTTCCTGTCACCTCCTAAGCGCGGCTGTGGGGCAGGTTAGATCAATGCTCCAGTTACAAGCTAGATGCCACATCCAGTCGTATTTCCCAGTGGGTGTATTCACCCTATTCTCTTTTTAAGGGTCACCCCCTAGTCCCTCACTATCTACAGGAGCGGAAGGCTTGCTAGGCAGCCGAAGAAGCACACAGGGTGGCTGGAGCTGTGGGAAGAGGAAGATCTGCACCCTGTGGAGCTATAAGGCTGAGGTCCATGGGGACAGCTTTTTCTTTACTATGCAAAGGAGTTTTGAGGGGGGCAGAGCTGGTGGATCCATGCCAGTACAGATCCACTTACACACGCACACACACAGAGCGGAGTGGGGCAGGGGCCAGCAGCAGTCACAGAGGAGCCCTGCTGCTCCACAGGCCAGGATCCCCCTCCTCCCCACAAGCCCTGGCTAGATTTGGACCCAAAGATCACGCAAACGCGAGAAGCACTGACTATATCTGGTGTAAAAAAAAAAAAAAATCTAGGGATTATAGTTTGATCAAAATTGGAGCTGCCGGCCTGAGCTGGAGCCTCAAATCACCTCCCACCTGGAGCAAATCCACATCCAAACTGGGCCAGTCGTTAACCACGAGCTCCACTTGCCTGGGTGCAGGTTTGGGTTCTTAGTCATTTGTCTCCTGACTCTTTAAATGTTGGTGATGTGCAGCCCACGAGTTACAGCTTCAGTTGCTTTTGGAATAAAATGTATCGTGTGACCCATCCTCAGCCTCGGGCTATGAAAACAGGGGCAGGGCTCATTTGGCTGTTTCTCCAACCCTGCTCAGCAGTGGAAATGATAAAGTGCTCTGGGAGCACTGAGAGAGGCTGCAAGTCTCTAAGGTGCCACAAGTACTCCTTTTCTTTTTGCGAATACAGACGAACACGGCTGTTACTCTGAAACCTGCAAAAATACCGCGGCCTCCGTAGCTTGGCAAATAACAAAGAGTTATTTCAGCACATGCAAGTGCAAAGCCATACAGGTGCATTTCTGGCCCAGGAGAGGGATAACATCCCAGTGTCTCCTTTGCCCTCCAGCAGGCTGAATGAGGTCGCTATATAAAAACAGAAGGCATTCATCTCCAAAGCGGGTAGGAGACTGAATGCTGTGGGCTAGGAAATAGGGAATAGGTTGCCTAGTGCAGAGAGATGTTTTATCACGGCAGTGTAGAAAGCACAGAGCTCTGACCATGCTGGAAATAAAACTCCTTCATTTACCAAAGAACCCTCTTTAATCCAGATCTTTCTATTTATTAGCTTGTTCAATGAACTATGAAAACAGAAAGGCTGCAGGTGGGAAGCAAGTTTGCCATGTTTACCAGTTATGCAATTTTAACTTTGCACTTGACACTTAGTTACCAGTTACTGACAGACTGCATGAGCCAACAGTTCGGAGCTAGGGCTGGAGAGGTGAACATGGCTCTCAGGCATGCATCAGAGGTGGGCCATAAGGTTCTGATCCAATTCTCACTGTTCTCAGGGCCCAGCTCTGTTGTGTATTAGAGCTACAGTATATCTTGCTGGACAACAGATTATAATGAGCCCACATTTCTTTGTCTGTTTGACAACACAGTTTTGGTTAGGCTAAGATTTTCTAAATATTCTTGGGAGTTGGATCCCTAAATCCCATTGGCAGTACATGGGAATTGAGAGCCTAACTCCATTAGGCTCTTTTTGAAAAGCCCAGTCTTCAAAACAGCAACAATACAACCAGAACTAAAATGGTGCAGATGGGATAGGCTTTACGTGGTGAGATTAATGGCACTTCGTTTGTATAAACTAGTGCAATGATTCAGGACTATTAAGAGGAATTATGAGCCAAATTCTGTGCTAATTCAGGCAGGTGCATCAATCTATGCAACTGTCAGATAATCCGCACCCAGCAGCAGGAGCTAGGAGTTAGCTGGCGTATTTGGGCTCTACTCCAAACCCACAGAACTACAGGCGGGTGTGCCAGGGCTAGGCCTAGAGGCATGGTCTGCATCTAAGTGAAGCTAATGACAGAAAAGTGATACCAGAGAAGAGTCCATATTGTTACACAAGACCTGGCTAATGACACCTCATCCACATTGGTCATCAAGATCACAGAGGAAAATCCATCCACTGAGGTCACCAGCACCAGGGCCAAGCTGGAAGGGGGTGGCTTTGGTTGAAGACTCTGAAGATGGGTTTGGTCCTGATTCTGCTTCTGGTGTGACCCTAGGTGAATCATTTCATCGCTCTGTGCCTCAGTTTCCCGTTTTGTAAAACAGAAATAAGAATTAGGGCTAGGTTGCTGATTAAACTAAGTTTTCCACGGAAAGGGTCTGTTCTTTGAAGAACATTTTAACTTTTCATTAAAAAAGATATTTTGGTGTTTGTTGTTTCAACTAAAAGTAAATTTTCCATGCCAAAAACCCCTCCATTTTTAAACCGGCTTTAATAAAATAATAATAATAATATTTCTTTTTCCCTCCCTTTGCCTTCTCTGTCTATTAAATTGTAAACAATTTGAGGCAAGGTCTGTCTCCTACTCGCGTCTGTACAGTGCCTCGTGTTCTGGGGACCCTACACACGCGTGGTATACAAACAAATGCCACCTGGGTTTAAGGAATCAGAATTCCAGGGGTGTTGCTGACCTGGAGCATTCTCACCCACAACTGGCCGTTTGCTAAGTATAACGCCAAGGCCCCCCTGGCATCAGCATGGACAAGGTGATCTCAGAAGGAGTCACATTAACTTGGGCCCAGCTCTTGCAGGATTTATTCAGGCAAAACACTCACTGAAGTATGACCAACAGGAGCTGGCCCTTACTGACTCCAGGTGAGAAGTTAACCTCTCACAGGTGGGTTGTAGCTAGCTCAACAGGCCTAGTGCTGCCCTACTCCTTTTTAAACGAATCGTTGTGGTGTTTCCAGACAGAGGAAGCCGGAAGGAAGAACCATTCCTGCTGCGCTTCTCAAGCATCAGATGTTCTCCTCCCCACAAGCAGCAGCTAATAGCAAACTCCAGGAACAGAACTGTGCCACACCTTCCCAGGTGCTGATATTTCTGCTCCAACACTTATGAGAAGCAAGAAGCCACGTTAATTTATGGCAGAGCGTCTCAGATGTTTCCAGCAGGAACTTTCTGTTCCCTTCAGCAGGCAACTTCGCTCAACCTTTCGGTATCTGCAGAGCCTCAGGTGTTTTGAGCAGAGAGAGACTCTGGATGATACAGAGCAACAGCAGCAGCCGCAGGTGTTTGTTCCCTACGTGGGAGACATTATTGCCGCTCTCCAAAAAATCTGCAATAATTCAAGTATAAGAGCAATAAATCTCATACAAGCCTCCTGGTTTCCATAAGATCCTGGCTATGGAAACAGCAGAAGGGAAATCCTGCCACAAGCCTGATGGAATCATAAAAGCAACTGTAAACTTACCAAGCTCAGCATGGCTCTCACAGAGGCAGCTAGAATGCAGCATTTGGGGTTCTGTCCCTTTTAAAGTGTCGTCTCCGATTTTGTGTTGCTATAAGACACAAGAAATGGACGAACAGCGATGGTCTGCATTCGAGAGAGGTCGGAACCCAAACCCTGGACCCCAACACCCCAGAGATGGGTCAGAACCAAAACATTTCTAAGCTTTTAATGCTGGTCTGCACTTAGTAGCTCTAGTCTATTTCCAATCTATGAACAATTATAAGCAGTGGCAGGAGAGGCCCTAACTGAAATCAGCAACCCATTGTGCTCTGCACTGAACAAATGCACAGTGGGAAACAGTCCCAAAGAGCTAATAATCTGAAGAGAAAAGACATACAAGTCAAAATGACTACCCACATTTCACCGACGAGGAACCGAGGCTCAGAGTGACTTATGGCTTGTCAAGATGGACACTACACTGGGAAATGATCTACACTGGGAAATTAGTTTGATATAACTACATCACTCAGGGGTGTGAAAAATCCACACATGCCCAAGCACACAGGTAAATGACCTAACCCCTGATGTAGATAGTGTTAAATCGACGGGAGCAAAAGCACTGTCTTTCTTAGTTGCTAGGAGGTGCTCAACCTCCACTCTATCCCAGGCTCCATCCTCACTCCACCCTTCCCTCAAGACCCCTTCCTGCACCCACCCTGCCTCTTTCTGACCCATTC